GAAGATAAAGTATCGTTAAAATACATAGATTTTGTTTTCACAAGTTCTCTTTCTTGTACTGGTCCAGCTGAATAGTCTGGTAGGACATCTTGGGTAACAAAGTTCCCTGTTGAATTAATTTTTGTTGTCGTGTTTGTTTTCGGATCAAAGGGATTCGGTCCAAAAGGTGAAGTACCAATATTGAGTAGATTGATTTTTTTGCATGTTCTATCCGGATCAAGGAAATAAGCGCGAGAACCAAGGTGATCACACATCATCATTTTAACACATTCATCGTCATTCGGCGATAACTTGGCTTCATCCAGAATCTCATGCGCAAGGGCTATATCACCTAAATAATGCCCGCTTATTTTTAGGGTGTCCTTTGTCATCCAAAGTGTACACGACATGTTCTCGGAAGATTTATGACCCCAAAGTGTAAATTTTCCAAGGATTTGACTTACAGTAGAAATATTGTAATCTATTGTGAATAATGTATTTGACGACCATCCGGGAATCAGTTTTAATTTCCACTGTGTCACTATACCATAGGCAGCCCCACCACCTCCCCTTAAAGCCCAAAATAGGTCCGAATTTATGTTTGAATTTGCGATCACAAGACTGCCGTTAGCCAAAACCACTTGAGCTTCGAGCACAAAGTCACCCGTGACGCCGTATTTTCGCGATTGCATGCCAAATCCACCAGCCGCAATGATTCCCGATAATCCCACCGTTGGACTGTAACCCGAGACTATGGCGAAGTTTTTTCGTGCAAGCTCTATGTATAAAGGTCCAAGGCGTATACCAGCATCCACCGTTGCTGTCTGTTCAACTTCGTTAACACTGATTTCTATCATCTTACTAACATCGATCACTAGGGTGCCGTCTAAATTTGAATATCCCTCATCACTAAAAATAATACGAAAACATTTTTATGGATTTTCCGATTTACACGAACATTCAGAACCAATGTTTCTCTTACCTGTGACCACCGTTTCTCGGACACGGTCTGATATTAAAGGTGTTCGAACAAAGTACGAGCCA